CGCTATCAGCAAGAGCAGCCCGATGGTCGACGTGGATATGGATCGACGATCTCTCACAGTACGTTGCAGGTGCAAGGAGTTGCGTCAATAAGCGTTTGTTGAAGGTTGTCCTCCTCACCAGCCGGGCCCTTGCAGCTGATGGATTGGAGATGGCTCCGAAGAGTGTCCTCTTATGCTTTCACCGCTGCGACGCCCGCGAGGTCGCCTCCATCCTCGGGGGGAAGGGCGTTGCCATCCTCCCCGCGCTGCAGGCGGGCCACCTCGGCGTCGACACAGGCGCGGGGAGGCCAGCCAGGAGCACGGCGAGGAAGCGCGTGGTGAAGGCGTCCAGCATGAACGAGAGGGCCCGTCGCTTTGCACGAGCTGCTCGACGATATCGGCCATTGGTCCGCCTCGAGGAGGCTGGGGCCCAGGCCGCGGGGCACTGCGGGCGCCAGATCTACGGCGTCTTCGGCAGCGGGCTCCTGGCGATGCGCAGGCGGCTCGGCCAAATGGCCAGATCGGCGAGGAGGGGCGCTGTCTCACCTTCGTCCTGGACCTTCGATGCCCTGGGCAGGACCCAGGGCGCAAGCTGCCTCGGGAGTGCCTGAGGCTCTGGCTCGCCGCGTGGGCGTCGACTCCGAAGGTCCATGTGGCAGCCGGCGCGGTCTGGGGCAAGGCCGCGAGTAAGCTTCGGGCCCTGGCCACTCAGGAGCGCGCCAGGCACATCAGGGGGGCCCATGGGGGCGGTCATCTGCTACCTCTTGCAGTGCGACTGGGGCCCCGTGGCCCCCGCGGGGTGGGGCACCAGGCCAGCTGGGGCCGAGGGCAGAGAGGCCTTCATCTTCGAGCAGCTGCAGCCCCACGACGACGTCACTGACCAGCTTGACGAGTTCGAGTCGTCGGTGCGCACCCAGCAGTGGCGCGCGGCGGCAACCCATTTCTGCGGCGCTGGCCTGGAATGGGGGCGCGGACAACGTCTCCTGCAGGAAGTTGCCCATGGCCCTTGGGCGCGCAGGGCACGGGCGCCAGCTTGCAGAAATGATCTCATGCGTGGCTGTCGGAGGCACTTGGCCCAGACAGAAGATCCACGACGAGATCGGGGGAGACATAGACATCCAGCGCACCCGTTGCGGCGAGGCCCCCGGGACAGCTTGTCATAGAGCGTGGTCTTGCAGGTGCAATGCAGGGTCGGCGGCGTTTTCGGCCCCCGACGTTTTGTCACCACAGGTTCACTCGCAGCACGAGTCGGAAGCATGATTTTGGTTCAGAGGCATCATTCCAGCGGGCTGGACTTGCGTCGAGCCACCGCAGTCTGATTTCAGTTGGAGTGCCAGCGGAGCTGCAGGCATACATAGGATTTTTACCCTTGGGGTCGGCTCGCTTAGCCGACCCCGATTTGTCTTCGGCGATGCCAGTGGCGAGGAAGACTCGCGAGACGAGCGGCTCCGCAGGGCAGGCATTGGCCTGGTCAGCGTAGATAGCTTCGATCCGTTCCACGTTGCTTCGCCCCGTAGCCCGCTGCCTGGAAGGAAGCAGACGGTGCCGAGGAGAACTGGCCGCGCTGTGGGCAGCAATCGAATTTAGTTCAGGATTTCTGGTGTACGTCATTGATAACAAAGCCGTGATGGACGGCTGGCATGCAGGTTTGTTTCTTGACCCGGGGGCCCGAACCAGGACCTCTGGAGGCTAACTGGCGCCCAAAGGCGCACTCGAGATTTCTCGGGCGTTGTGGTTTTGCAAGTCGCTTCTCACTAGATAGGAGCGACCCTCGAGGCGTCGGGGGCGCCACTTTGGCTCGCCATGGGCAACGAAGCCGCCGACGAGGTGGCATCCATCGCTGCGCGGGAGGCTCGTCTGCCCCAGGCCGAGCACAACGCCAGCATGGTGCAAACCCGTTTTTTGAAGGCGAACTTGGAAGCCGCCGCCCAGGAAAAGAGAGTAGCCGTGAAAAAAAGACCGACGGCCTCCGCCGTCTGCTGCATCTCTCGCCTTCTTCGGGTCCCTGCACGCATTTTCCGCTGACGGCAGGAGTTGCAACCACAGTTACTCGTCCATTGGCGCCTTGACCGAGTGGAGGAAAACTGAGTGTGAGCTGCAGACCATGTCTAATTCGTCAGTGTTGAGGCTTCCGAGGGGTCAATCAATTTATATAGGGGGAGGTTACACCCACACCTCCCACGAGCTCCTTTTCCACCCTGTATTGTCTCTTTGGTTTTGAAGCTCGTGTGGGTATTTCGCTAAGCCGCTAGTGTCCAGTTCAGGCCCACTCTGGTCAAGCCGTGTCTTGTTTCCTCTGAGTCGGATGGCCCCAGGAGGACCATCACGCCCACGGGGCGGGTTTACCTGGATAGAATTCAAAGGGGTCTTTGGCCCAAATATAAATAGCCTAATTATACCCGAGCAGTGACTTGGGTGGTGGGTCGATCACGTTTTTTTCGCTTCGCGATAGGTCCATTCCATTCCATCCCTCCTCCTCCTCCTCCTCCTCCTCCTCCTCCTCCCTCCTCCCTCCTCCCTCCTCCCTCCTCCCTCCTCCCCCTCCGCCGCCTCTTCCCGCTTTCCCCCCCGCACTCGCTCGCCGCCGACCGTCGCCCGTCTGCTGCGCCCCCCCCTGCGGGGCCCGGCGGGGCCGGCGCCCTGCCGCCCTCGCCGCCCCCCCGGGTGCGGCCGGGCGCGCCGCGAGTGTTTAAATTCTCTCGGTGGCGCCCTGCGGCGCCCAGCGCCGCGGGCCCCCCTCCCTGGGCTCCGCGAGGGAAGTTCTCGCCCCTTCTGGGTTCGAGGGGTGCCACACGCTTCGCCCCTCGCCCCTCGAGGTGACCTCTCGCCCCCCGCCCCTGCGCTCGAGGCGATTCCTCGCCCCTCGCACCTCGTCGGCGGGGCAGAAGAGCTGCACCAGCGGTGAGCGATCGGGGCGACCGCAGCGCGAATGGGCGGGCATATGCACGGGGGGGGGCAAGACAGATGGGGCGGCCGCGAAGGACAGAAGGAGGCGGATGGCACTTAGACGCGGAATAATTCCACCGAGCGCGCCGGCGTGGCCAGCGATGTTACCACACACGTACAGGATGTGGTGGGCATGACCCCGTGCAAATGTGAAGTCATACTTGACGTCGATCGAAACATCTTGGGCAGCAGTTGGCCCTCATATTGTGTCCCCTTCCTCGTCATCCCTCGCGTGCTTGTCTGCTCCTGTCCAGGCCGCGTAAAGGCGGCTGGAGCCGCTGAGGTCGGACGGTCGCGCAGCACCGCCGCGCTTCGGCGACGCGGCGCGCTCCAGGGCACGGTCAATTAGCCGATGCAGCGACAATGCAGTGCGAATCTCCTGCAGTGCGAAATTATCCCGGCAAAGCAACCTAACAGCGATCTGTAGGAGCATATCTGGAAGCATTCCCCTTAAGATTCAGATGAGAAGCCAGTTGTAGAATTCTGCTGTTCTCGCAGTCGTAGTCGCATTCGCGATGACAGTCGCAGTGGCAACGGCAGTCGCAGTCAGCCTCAGCCTCAGCCTCAGCCTCAGTCTGCCTCAGCCTCAGCCTCAGCCCTCGGCCTCAGCATCAGTCTGCCTTCAGCCTCGGCCTCAGCCTCAGCCTGCCTCAGCCTCACCCTGCATGAGCCTCAGCCTCAGCCTCAGCCTGCCTCAGCATCAGCCTGCCTCAGCCTCAGCCTCAGCCTGCCTCAGCCTCAGCCTCAGCCTGCCTCAGCCTCAGCCTCAGTCTGCCATCGCCTCGGCCTCAGCCTGCCTCAGCCTCAGCCTGCATCAGCCTCAGCCTCTCAGCCTCAGCCTCAGCCCTCAGCCTCAGTCTGCCTTCAGCCTCGGCCTGCCTCAGCCTGCCTCAGCCTCAGCCTGCATCAGCCTCAGCCTCAGCCTCAGCCTGCCTCAGCATCAGCCTGCCTCAGCCTCAGCCTCAGCCTCAGCCTCTGCCTCAGCCTCAGCCTGCTTCAGCCTCAGCCTCAGTCTGCCTTCAGCCTCGGCCTCAGCCTCAGCCTGCCTCAGCCTCAGCCTGCATCAGCCTCAGCCTCAGCCTCAGCCTGCCTCAGCCTCAGCCTGCCTCAGCCTCCATCAGCCTGCCTCAGCATTCAACATGTGGCCCCTGGGAACTAGCCTGCCTCAGCATCAGCCTGCCTCAGCCTCAGCCTCAGCCTGCCTCAGCCTCAGCCTCAGCCTCAGCCTGCTTCAGCTTCAGCCTCAGTCTGCCTCAGCCTCAGCCAGCATCAGCCTCAGCCTCAGCCTCAGCCTGCCTCAGCATCAGCCTGCCTCAGCCTCAGCCTGCCTCTGCCTCAGCCTCAGCCTGCTTCAGCCTCAGCCTCAGTCTGCCTTCAGCCTCGGCCTCAGCCTCAGCCTGCCTCAGCCTCAGCCTGCATCAGCCTGCCTCAGCATTCAAAATGTGGCCCGGGAATGGTGTTCTGGGAACACGAAGAACACGAAATGGCCTACAGTTGGCTCCGGGCATTCAAAATGTGGCCCGGGAATGGAGTTCTGGGAACACGAAGAACACGAAGTGGCCTACAGTTGGCTCCGGGCATTCAAAATGTGGCCCGGGAATGGAGTTCTGGGAAGTCGAAGAGCACGAAGTGGCCTACAGTTGGCTCCGGGCATTCAAAATGTGGCCCGGGAATGGAGTTCTGGGAAGTCGAAGAGCACGAAGTGGCCTACAGTTGGCTCCGGGCATCAAAATGTGGCCCGGGAATGGAGTTCTGGGAAGTCGAAGAGCACGAAGTGGCCTACAGTTGGCTCCAGGCATTCAGAATGTGGCCCGGGAATGGAGTTCTGGGAGGTCGAAGAGCACGAAGTGTGTGACTGTTTGCGAAAAGCGCATTCGGACACGAGTTCGGATACAGCTCCCCGGATGCCGCCCCGACCCCCTTGTGGAGTCATCTGCTGCTCTCTTTTGAGTCCACTAGAAACCTATCAGCAAAAGCTGTTAGGTAAAAATGCACTGCGATTCTCCGACTGCATCTGCGCCGGCTCCTTTTTCGCGCCCGTCATCCTCCCTGCTCGGTCCCCGGTGTGCAGCGAGGAGTGGCTGGTGCAGTACGTGGCCGAGCTCGGGCACGGGCCTAGGAGGACCGGGTTCTCATCCACGAGCCTCCCCGATGGGCAAGAAAGGGATGCATGTATGTATGAATGAATGTATGTCTGTCTGTCTGTGTGTATGTATGCCTGTATGTCTGTATGTGTGTACTTATACAGGTACGTATGTATGTATGTATACATGTATGTATGCATGCATGTATGTATGTACGTACGTATGTCGGCATGCCTATATGTATGCAGGTAAGTACGCATGTATGTGTGTATGTGTGTATACGTATGTGTGCATGTACATGTGTATGTGTGTATGTGAGAATGTTTGCATGTACGTATGCATGTATGTAATGTATGCACGTGTGTGTCCTGTATGTATGGATGGATGCATGCAGGTATATGTACGTATGCATTCATTGTTCTGTGAATGTATGTATGCACGCGCGCATGCATGCAATCATTCATGCATGCATGCATGCATGTATGTATGTATGATTGTATGTTTGTGTGTATGCACACATGTATGCCTGCATGTTTGGATTTATGAAGGTATGTATGCTATATGTATGTGTGTACGTATGCATGCATGCATGTGTGTTTGTGACGTATGTATGTATGCATGTCTGTATGCATATATGTAGATATGTTTATGCATGTATGTATGCACGTATGGTTGCATGAATCTGTGCATGTATGTATGTTGTATGTGTTTGTCTGCATGGTTGCATGTATGTCTATCCATATGTGCACATGCGTGCATGCGTGTGTGTATGGATTTGTGTTGGTACGTACGTATGTGTTAACACATGCATGTATGTATGCATGCATGCATGTGTGTATGCATGTATGCATATATATATATATATATATATAGTTGTGCTTGTGTGTGCATGTATGTGCGTGTAGGTTTGCATGCACACGCTGTACATCTACGTATGTCTATGTGTACGTATGTAGACATGTGTTAGTGTATGACTGTAAGTATGGATGGATGCCCGTACATAAATGTGTCTGGATATATGCACGTATGAATGCATGCATGCAAGCATACATGCATGCTCTCATGTATGTATGTGTGTATGTATGCATCTGTGTACGTATGGCTGCCTGCATGCATGTATGCTTGCATGTATGATGTATGTGTGCATGCATGCATGTACGTCCGTACGTATGTACGTATGTATGTAGGCATGCCTCTCTCTTATATATATACTTTATATATATATACATACATATATGTATACATGTATATGTGTGTGTGCGTGTGTCTGTGTGTACGTGTGTCTGTGTGTGTGAATGCAGCGGGGGTCCCAGGCGCACTGGGGAGCACTGATTTTGTACCCAGCCGCGCTGGACGCGCCCGCAAGCGTCGTAGCGCGTCGGAGGAGGGGCAGGGGGGCGACGAGAGGGCCCACAACGACGTCCAAGAGGTGTTCCAAGATGTCCTGAAAGCGCTCTCAGGGAGCCCAAGACCGCCCAAGGGGGCTTCAAGATGGCCCAACTTGGGTGAACAAAAATAAAGAAAAACACAAAAACAGATGACCCAACATGGCGTCAAGACAGCCCAAGGGGGCCTGAGGACGGCCAAGAGGCCCTCAACAGGAGTCCCACCAGGCCCTTCAGGAGGTGACACATCACATGTGTCTAAGGTTTTCGAAGGGTTTCGTTCTGGGCTCTTCATGTTTCCGACGGGCCAAGAAGGCCCAAGGGCGCCCCACGTTGGCCCAAAGACGGCCCAGGAGGGCCCAAACGGTTCCAAATTGCGTCAAGAGAGCCCCATGAAGGCCTCAAGAGCCCCCCAAGAGGGCCCCAACAAAGCCCCAAGACAGCCAAAGCCCTCCAAGACGTTTCAGAAAGGGTCGCAGGACTGCCCAAGAGTGCCTGAAGTGGTCCACAGGGGCCCCAAGAGGACACCCAAGAAGGCCCAGAGATGCTAGATGCATAGAAGTTCGCAAACATCATACAGTGGAGACCCATGCCAAGAAACACCCTGCTTGCCTCCAGGGTGCCCTGGGTTTCGATGGTTTTGCTATGGAACGCGGGACGTTACCACACCAAAAATCAATGAACGTCCTAAGATTTCAGGGTTGGGTTTCTTGTGGATGGTCTCTCGTGGACTGTCCTCCACTGCAGATGTTTGCAAACATCATGTACTTACAATGTAAGCACAATCCCCCTTCCCTCCAGGGGGCGCCGGCCAGCTCGATGACACCTTAGGCACATCCCCCGTACTAATGCCCTCCTGGGCCTCCCAGTAAGCCCCTGGAGGCCTTGAGACGGCCCAGGAGGCTCGGAGACACCCCACAAGAGTTGTCGGACGGCCCTGTATATTTTCCTGACGGTCACGAGGGGAAACAGGGGGAGGAGGGGGAGGAGGAGGAGGAGAAAGAGGAGGAGGAGAAGGAGGAGGAGGAGGGTTGGGGTGCCGTTCGGGGTCTTCTGAGAAGCCTCTGAGCCTTTGAGCGTCCGGGGCCACGAGACACCCACGAGCGCCCAAGGCAGTGCCAAGAGGCCTCCGAGACGCGCCCAGCACCGCCCAGGGGACCTCCCAAGGAAGCCCTCGAGAGGCCCAGATGTTTGGGTTCGCGCGCTTTCGCCTCCGAAGCGCTTCCGAGGCTTGTGCATGATCTCCGCGAGAGCTCCAAGATGTCTCCAGGAGACGCCCCAAGCGGCCCAAGAGACCCCACCAAGACGCTCGAAGAGGCACCCACGAGGCCTCAGCGGGGCTCCCAAGAGGCTCCGAACAGCCCCCAGGAGCCGCCCAGGAGGTCCGTCCCCACGGGCTCCCAGAAACCTAAAGAGCGCCGGAAGAGACCCCAACGAGCCGCCAGAGGCTCGCAAGAGCCCCCCGAGAGCCCTTGATACCCCCAAAGGGGCCCCTCAGAGGCCCCACGAGACCCTACGGTACGCCCGCAACAGGCTCCAGGAACGTTTTGAGGATGCCCCAGAGCGGCCCCGGGCAGATTGCCACGAGACAGTCTCTCTCCTCATCCCTCCCTCCTCCCTGATCCCTCTCTCCTCCTCCCTTTTCCCCGTTTTGTCCCCTTCCCTCCTCCCTCCACCTCATCTCTCCGTCACTCCTTCCTCCCTCCGCCTCCCTCACCCAGCTCCCTGCCGCACGGAGTGGAGGAGCAGCAGGGGAAGTATCCTCTTCCCTCCTTATCTCCTGTCATATGGATGTCCTTTTTCTTTTTTACATCATCCATCTCTTTGCATACTCTCCTCCTTGACTCCACGCCTCCCTCCTCCCTCCTCGTACTCTTTCTGCTACTCCCTCCTCTCCCCTCACTCCTCCTCCTCCTCCTCCTCCTCCTCCTTCTCATCTTCTTCTCCTTCTCTTCCTCAGCCTCCTCCTTCTCCCCATCCTCTTTTTTTCTCCCCCCGAAAGTCCCCCGCCTCCCCCTCCCTTCCTCCCGGGGAGGACGAGAAGGAGGAGGAGGAGGCGGTGGACGAGGAGGGGAAGGGAACGAGGAGTGAACGGGTAGACATCGCGAGCAGGGAGGAGCGAAGCGAGATTTGGGAGGGGTAAGGAGGGAGGACGGGAGAGGAGCCAGTGGGGAAAGGACACACGATGAAGGAGCAGGGAAGTCTAAGAGAGAGGAGCGAAAAGGGGAGGAGAGAAGAGCGACGCAGACGGAAGGAGGAGGGAGGAACGAGGGGTGATAGGGGAGGAGAGAGATGCAACGTGACTCGGGAGACACCAGGAGGAACAACTACAAAAGAGAGGAGTACGAACGGAAAGGACGCGAGGATCGGCGAGGAAGCCAACAGATGGAGACAAGATGGCCCAAGGCCGGCGCAAACTTGTGCCAATCCCAAATTGCATCGCGACATATGTTCATAGTGTCATGACCTTACCATGTCTTGCGCTTAGAACCTAAGTGCGGGAAGCGCGTGCATATTCCGATTCATATATTGTATACGGCTGGGGATTACGGAAAAGGCCCACCACCCCGCCCACCCCCCCGAACGAATTTGGAATTTTCTGGGCTGGCCAGACGCCCTCCCTGGCACCGGGGGGCGGTCTAGCAATCCATGCCAAGGCGTGCACACAGTGCACAGGCGGGTGGCAGTCCCAAGACGGTCGGCGCTAGGCCCATGAGACGCCCAGGGCGATCGAAGATGGTTCCACGTTGCCCGCCCGAAGACGGCTCGAATGTCACCCTCACGAAGAGCTCGACCCTAAACATATATGGATGTTGCATTATTTTTCGTTTGATGTTCGGCTATTTGCTCACTCAGGCCTCCAAGCGTCCGAGAACGCTGGAGAAGCATTGAAATCCGTTCTGAGACGGCGCAAGCGGGCCTCCAGACACCCCAACACGGTCACATGAGGGCCCAAGCCGGCCGCCAAATTACCCACAGGCGGCCCCATGACTGGCCCAAAAATGCTTGCAAAAACCGGCACAAAGCCTAAGAGACTCCCAAAACGATCGGAGATGGCATCAAGCGGTACAGATCCCCGCTGGACGCCCGAAGACGGCCGGAATGTTACCTGGTAGAGGCGCTCGTAACCTGGAAAAACATGTATGTTTCTTAGGGTACTCGCTCATTCGGGCCTTCAAGCGTCCGAGGACGCTGGAAAGTTACAGGAAAGCGCTCCAAGACGAGCCAAACGCGCTTCCTGTCACCCCAACACGGTCACATGAAGGCCCAAATCGGCCCTCAAACTGCCCACAGGCGGCCCCATGACTGGCCCAAAATGACTGCAAACAACTGGAACAAGGCCCAAGAGATTTTCAAAACGAAGATGGCATCAAGCGGCCCAGACCCCCGCTGGACGCCCGAACACGGCCCGAACGTGATTTGGAAGAGGCGCTCGAAGTTTGGAACAATATTTCTGTTTCGATGGCTTGTGTGTATGTATGTGTGTGTATGTATATGTATGTGTGTGTATATATATATATATATATGTATGTCGGAGGTTGGGGGGTGAGATCGCAGTGTAACGGAGTCCCCCCGCCGGGAAATCGAGTTTCGAGTTCGTGCTCGTGCCGTGCGTGCGGGCGAGGCGAAGCTGCGTGGGCGGGCGAGAGGGA